ATCAAGGACCGAATTCATAATCAAGCGGGCCCTAATGACAGGAGATAATGACAACCAGGAAAATAGATGATGTGGAGAAGAAATTAGAGGAAGAGATAAGACAAATTAGATCGAGGATGTAAGAAAGGTTCGTTTCCATAGAGGATATGTTTTCTTCCATGGAAAATCGAATGGAGGATCGATTTGAGAGCATGAGAGAAATGCAATAGATGATAAAGAAGCTTATTGAGATGCAATCCAATACCCTGCCGACAGTTCAATTTGCAAATCATAACCAAAGGTTGATTAAAGAATCCGTGACAAGATTGAAGGGAAAAGAGATCGAACATGAGGAACATGAGGAACATGAGGAGGAAAACATTCACCATCACAAACCCTCTCTCAGGGCTCCAACTAGGGGTGGATTAGAGATTCCTATTGGAGACAGTTGGGTCGAAACATGAAAAAGAGATTATGTTAGAGGTATAGAGGAGCAGGTTGAAGGGAGAGAAGCAGGGAAGAGATATGACTGTGATCGAAGGAAGGACTTTTACCCTCGAAAGTGGAAATGGGGTGGAGATATTAGAGTTAGGGGGTGTTTGGTACGATAATTTTAAGTGAATTTAAGTTAAATTCAATGTAAATCCAACAAACACGATAAATATGTTAGATAAATTCGTTGTTAAGTTAAATCCAAGTTTTGCTTGTTTTGTTTATTAAATTCGGATTTACTAGATCCACTTATTTGTTAGATTTAACAGATTTAACTAAGGAAAAAAATTTCAAACAGATTTATACCAAACTCATCAAATAGATTTAATCGAAATTAATCTTAATTGAACCAAACATCATTTCAGATTTAGTAGCATTTAGATATAATAAATTCAAATTTATCAGATTTAGTAAATCCTATTTAATTTAAATCATACTTACAACCAAACACCCCCTTAGGAAGTTGAAGATGCTGATCTTCGACGGGGAAGACACCCATGGGTGTATGTATCTGGCGGAGCGATACTTCACGATGAAAATGTTAGATGGGGAGGAGAAACTCATGGAGGCAAAATTGTGTTTGGAGGGGAAAACCTTAGTCTGGTTTCAGTGGAGGAAGGCTAGATACCCGATTTATTCGTGGAATGAATTTAAGGATTGTTTGTTGGAATGTTTCTGAGCCACTCGGGAAGTAGACCTACACGAGTAATTCTATGCTTTCACTTAGAAAATGATGGTCATGGAATATAGGGAGAGATTTGTAATATTGCTAGGAAGGTTGCGGAGGATTTTTGAAGCAAGACTAGAGGAGAATTTTATGAAGGGATTAAAGCTCAACATATGTATGAGCAGCACTTCGGCTACTAAGAGCGTGGGTACTAAGGGAGATGATGGAGCTAGCCCAAATGGTGGAACATAAAAACCGTATTAAGAAAGTCAGCAGGAGCAAACAATTGGAGCATTGTACGTAACTGCTGCAACCACGATGATGCTAAAAGTTCAGACAGTGGTAGTCCAGAGGGATGATGCACGGGACACGAATAATGGATCACGACCGAGAGCAACACTGAAGTGCCTTACAAAGATAGAGATTCAGGAGAAGTGATTTGGTGTGATGAGAAGTTTACCCCAGGTCACCATTGCAAAGATCAGATTATAAGTTCTCATAGTGCAGGACAAGGAGACAGATAATGAATAAATAGAGACAGTTGTGGGGGAGGAGGAGGAACATTCATTTTTTCCCATCTTGAGGACAATGTGTCTTTTGGGGAGAGTATTATTACGAGGGCTCCTAGCTTAAGAACAAATGACTTTTGTACGCTTAAGGGAAGTCTTTTATTATTATTATTATTGGCTATAAATATACTTTGTTATGTCTAGGGTTAGGTATAGGCTTGACATTAGGGGTGTAAACGAGCCGAATGCGAGCTGAATCATTTATATTTTGAGCTCAAAAAGTGTATTCGTATTCGGCTCGTTTGCTTAATGAGTCGAACACTAGTTGTTCACAAACAAAGAGTTTTTTTGACAACCCTAATCATGTAGTCATAAGATATTAAGGGTTGGGGCAAGATTTAAAAAAATATTGTTTTTATTAAAACATCATTTGAATCTAATTTAATCATTTTTATTATACTTTATTGATTAATACTTTTAATTGATTATAATTCTTTGTAGCCTTGTAGTCAATTATTTTTTTTTTTTAAAATACTACTCATCAATATATATATATATATATCTGTGTGTGTGTGCGCGCGCGCGAATGACCTGACTCATTGGTGCGGCCTCTGACGTAAATCCCTCGGGTCGGGGGTTCGAATCCCGTGGCGCGGGCTCTTTAAATCAGGAGCAAGCACACGAGGGTTTTCAACCATTTGGGGGAATCAATATTTGATGCTCACTTGACTAAATATCAATTTCACCTTTTGATATATATATATATATATATATATATATATATAATTGATGAGTAGTATTTCGAGCCGAA